GTAAAATCTCTTTGAACACAGCCTACAAAACACTGTTTGTCACAGCGGACAAGTTTGCAGAATGCAGTCAGATGAAGACAATATGGAAGTTCACAATTCTACACAAGTAAGGACAGTGAAGAGGAGGTGAGAGACGATAAACGATGTGGGAGGGAGAAAATATAGACGTGGACCTCAGAACATCAGAGCGGGTTGAGAATATTCGCTATTTTACTGGATGATGATCGTCTTATGCCTCTAAAGACAATCATCATACAGTTTGAAATTGGTGTACCAAATGTACACAGAATTATTCATGAAGATCTGAACATGCGCAAAAAGTGTACAAATTTTTTTTTTTTCCCGGGGGTGCTCAGCGATGAACAGAAAGAAAGCGGTGTTATTGTTTTATAGCTACACGAAAACTTTTTTCGCTTTATCATACATTTTCCCCAATGTTGAGGGTGAGCATTAGGAATAACTGAGTTTAAATCGTATAGACTGGAGGGAATTTATAAGGGGTTATGCAACACCTTTACGGAAGAATGTTTCAGATATGCTCAGATCAAGCGTGATCTCCAAAGAGGCACTCACTTTGATTTGACAGCTAATATTCAGTTTTGGAAATGTGGGGTGTGTGAGTTGTCGAATGCCGGTTATGTAAAACATCTGAAATGTCATCAGAACAACCAGAATCTATACAATTATGCCAACCTGCCTCACCTTCCCGACAAAAATATCAGTGTTGTTTTCAGATCATCATTTGAACTGAGAAGACATAATAGTACATAGGAGAGATGCAGGCCATGCAGATTCAGTCAAACCAGTTAAGCATACAGAGGCTATCTGTTTTATATGATGATGACTATGAAAATGATTGCAGGTCTCAAGTGTCATCTTAGGGGTCACGGACGCCGAAATAAGACGGGCGACCCCACAAGCGATCCGAACTATGAGGATGTGGCTCTCATCTGATTAAGGTGTGGTAAACACTGTATATATTGAAAGTTGAAAGTTTACGGTACTTAACGAAGTTTTGCTATAGTTTGCTCATCAGGACCGCGATAAGAAAATATCAGCTTCCTGAAGAGCGAAACTTTGAGACGATCTTCGATAAATACCGTGAAACGTTCGATATTTTTGTACAATAAGTATTTGCTCAAGATAGATAGTGTGTACCATATTGAAAAATATTCTATCCGCTTCAAAATACGATAAATCATATGAATTTACATGTATCAAAAGGTCTTTACACTATCTTGATTGTTTTATTCACGATGTTTTACAAGTTGTACACTCCGGTCTTCTTCAGGTGATATATGTTAGATTTTCGAACCGAACACTTTATTTCGTCCGTTGGGGTAGATACTTCTAGTTCCACGGGGCATGTCTTTTTTTTGGATAACTCAGTTTCAGTTATTTCACTTTAGTAACTCAACTCTATATATATATATAAATAAAAATTTTATTTCTAAATAAATCGTTCACTCGCCAGTAATTTACAATCGCCTGATGAGATGCATTGATACGCATCGAAACACGACTGCAACCTGCAACTATGTAGCGATTTTGACATGTTTTCGGTGTAATATCCTAAAATAAAGTAATATATATATATATATATATATATATATGTGTGTGTATGTGTGCGTGTGTGTATGTGCGTGCGTGTGCGTGTTATTATCGCTTTTTCCTCTAGACATATCGATCATGCCCAAACCATCTAAATCCCTCAACATTCTTCCACATATGTACGTACACATAAATAAATTGGTCCACATATCCAACTCCTTCCCTAGCTTCTCTGTCATCAAGTCGACTTTCTTGCCTGCAGTGTCTGCTTTTATCTAAACCGGACTTTAGCCGGCTCTACTCTTTCGAATATTCGCCAGCTTCAGCGCACTTTCAACTAACACTCTCTTCTTCAAATATTCAGTCCGACTGGTCGCTGTCCATTCAATATGTCTGCTGCTCTTCATTGAATGACTCACTGTACTGACTCGACGGTCGAGTATTGCACAATTTGGTTCTACCCACCGCTTGACCCTGTCAGTCTGTCTCTCGATCAGCCTGACTGTCTGTTTAGTTGGCCGCACTCAGTATCTATACACTCAGACCTAATACCACTGCGCCATGGATACTTCGCCATCATTATGTCCGTCAGCATTCACTCCAACCCCTGCACCCACTTATTCGCTACATTCTATATTTCTGTGGCGAGGGATGGGATTAATCCTAATGAGATTTGTACAAGAGTCAGCCAAGTGTATTCTTCAATTTTCAATGTTCTCCTCTTTTTATCAGTTCGACAAATATTTCTTAGTCCTTCCCAGTTCTTTACTCAGATGTCTACTTGTTTCTTTTTCTTTTGAATCTGCTTCTTCTTCGTTGTTGATCTTCTGCCTCATTTTCGGTGTTGTTCTTTGAATCTGCTTCTTTTTTTTATCGTTCTTCTCATTTGAGTTTGACTCTTTTTGAATTTACTTTCTTCTCGCTTTTGCATATCTTTAATTCTGATTCTCTTTTTCGTTGTTCTCTTTGATTCTGCCACTTTTTAGTTTTGGTTGTTCTTATTTTGTTGGGAAAGTGGCCATCATTTAGTACCTATAGGAGGATAGGTGATAACAGCACCAAAAACGAGGACAATGATCCGCGTGTAGATAGTGACAAAAGAGTTTGGAGAATTTAACACACACAAGACATGCTGAAGGTAAAAGGGGCACATGGAAAATCGAACAACCACGAACTGGTATAAAATGAATGGCTGAATGTGCCCGCGGGCAAAATAATGGAGTGATAGAAAGTTTAAGAGACCTATGATCACACAAGTCCTGAAGGATGAACCCAACCTAGAACATTGTCTTCTTTTCAACATTTATATTCTTGCCTTATCCATCGAATATTTTTAGCTTAATTTTCCCATCTATTTATTTCAATAGCCATTTTGTGTTTCGAGGCGAAATTCAATGCCCAAAACGCCCCCCGCCCTCTGAACAAACCCATATCAAGCTAATTTTTTACATTTTTATCGCATAACTAATCTAATAGTGCTGTAAAGATTTACAGTGATCCAATCTACTAATGTAATTGTCTGTTATTATGCTAAAACCAAGCCTCTTTGCTTATTATTTTTTTGGTTATTTTTAAAAAAAATAATAATTATGGTTTTCGTTATATAAAGCTTATTATTTAACCCATAGCTGGGGAGAAGGTGGAATTATATATTTCCAAAATCCTTAATATGAACATTAACCAGACCTGCTTACAGACATAGGGCCTGTAACAATTCTGATGAGGGGTCCACCCCTTTTTATACAAATGGACTCACCCAGTCACTACTGCCAGTGAATACCCGAGAAGTCGAGTCCAGTCCAGAGTAAAAGGTTGTAGGTAACTGGAAGAGTGAGGGGTGAGGTAACAGCGTAGTAGGAGTCACAGTGAGCGAGCACGTAGACTCGGTAAGAAGTCATACAGCGATACTTCAATACCAAAGACTGTATATATCTTTTGCTACTGACCCGTAAATCCTGGAACTACTAACCTGCTTTACCAGTTTGTATTATTACGTTAATACATTATTTTCCTATATTCATTCTTGGCGTTTGTTATTTATTGGTACCGGATTTCAACCCGAAATCCACAACAAATTCTATGGTACTTTACAATACACACACACACACAACAATCAAAATTAATAGTCAAGACAATACTTCAAGACCATTAAAACAGAATGTGCTTTCTTATTGACATGGCATTCCTTACAGACTGTAATGCATCTTTGAAGAGATTCATCAATTTATGTCTTGTTAAAAGCAGAGTTTTGTTTCAATTCGACAAAATCAAATTGGCGATTGATGTCAAAAACGACCTCAATTGTAAGCTCGAATAAAGGATGACTTGTTAATTTTAATGCACCCGAAATCAAGACTGTAATCTATTAATCATCTAAGAGACCCCTTTTCTAACTTCTATTTACATGGCTGATGCTAACCTTTAGGAGAGTGACGTTGCGCCTACTCGGATTAACATTCTCAGCTGAAATGAAGTGGAAAGAATATATTGAATCCATTGCGAGGACAGCTGCTACGAAATTTGGCTTACTGTGCCGTGCTAAACAATTATTATCTTCTGAATCTATCCGGCACATCTATAAGTCTATCATGCATTCAATATAGCTATAACACATGGTCGGAGTTCTTGTTTTATATCTAGAGATAAAATCCAAAGAGGAATCAGCAATATTATTGGTCCTGATTTGGCGTTTCGGCTTCAGTCACTTTCCTAATGCTGTAAGGTTGCCTTCCTGTGTCTTTTATATAAATGCTTTCATTTTATTCGTTCGGATGAGCTCTTCCATATGGCTAAATTTTGGCCATGTGCCACATTTCTGTATATAAGCGGAATAGATATCGCTCTTTCAGATGGTACCTAGACTTTATGAATTTAAACACAGCACTAAACTGGCGACGAGGTCTTATCAATTCACAAAGCTGGCTAGATGTAGCCGTAAGTTCTATGTTAATAGTTTCTTTTATTGCACTTCTCGCTTGTGGAACTCCCTTCCGGCTCCATGCTTTCCAGTCAACTTTAACCTGCAAAAAATTAAGGATGGACGGAGCGTAAGAGCAATCAGGATGTCATGAAAGAAAAAGAAACAAAAAAGACACTTATACCCAGAAAGAAGAAGCTGAAAATTCTAACGAGGAAGGAGTGTTTGGAAAACTTGACTAGTATTTTGTAGAAAAACTTTTTTTCTTTTGCTTGGCTTATCAACCATTTCCAGGCTATTTACAGTCAGAAAATATGTTTAAATTAAAAGAATTATTTTGCAGATAATAATGCTTTAGTGATACAAGTCTTACTAATTAACCCATAGCTATGGGGAGAAAAGGTGGATACATACATTTTCCCAAGGTTATTTGCGTGTAAGTGAATATAAAGAACCCAACTTGAATTGAACTCGGCTCACCGATTAACAATTCAGAACCATTATCCATTACACCACCCGCACTTCCAATCACACAGCAACCAGTATTCACAAAGGGTCACCCATCTACGTACTAAGCAGTAGAGGTTGCTTAACTTCGCTGCTCGCACGGGAACCGGTGTTTTAACTTAATGTGGCCGTGACCTTGATTTTGTTTTTGCAATGATATCTAAATGTAATAATATAACGTCCTTGGCCCTATTAATTAAACCAATATTTATTTATTAGAAACTAGTAAAAGAAAGCGAGAAGAAGAGGCTAACTATGAAATGTAAGAAGACAGAATATATGGCCATCGTCAAGAGGAACCTACTGAAAATGTGAGATACAGATTGGTAACATCAGAATCAAGCAAGTACAAATATTTAACAATCAGGGAAGTGTGCAAGCAAACGATGCGAAACTCGAAGGCGCATTGGATGGCGGAAATATGCATTTTAAAAGCTAACAAAAATATTAAGCAACAGAAATAATTCGTTATAAACAATGAAAAAGTGATGAACTACTATATGTAGAAGTCACTTCCGGTTCCATGCCTTTCAGAGGTTAACCTTTAAAAATGTAAATACCATGTTAATCTTCTGTCCTCACGATAACCCTTCCTTTGTTCCCTTTTCTTAGTAATGCTTTTGTTTTCTAATTCTTCCACACCCAGTAACCACTTGTGTCTTAGTGGCTTTACTGCCTTGATTGGGGTGAATTTATTTAAATTAAATTCAAGTGGAAACAGCAAAAAATCAAATCCTTCGTTTTTCCTACGTCATGAAATTATAAAGCAAATTCAACTAAAATGCTATTAAAATAGCAATAATGAAGGAAAAACGTTTATGATGAATTTGTAAAGACAACGATAACCACTAATAAATAGTTCTCAAGCACTAGACCGTCTTGTAGTCAAAATACTAGTGTCTACAATCAGATTCGAAATCTCTAACAGTAGGTGACCAGATTAGCTATCCCTCATTCTACGTCACTGATCGCTACATGAAAACAGTGATGAGGATTATTATCTACAAACAAAACAATATTTTTGAGCTTATGCTAATAATGATGGTGGCGGTGTGGTGGAAGGCTGTGATCGCAAGGCGGGAAGCCATATAAAGTCTGAAGTGTTTGTAAACAAATTCATTTCACTGATGGCGGTAGCGTGTCCTCATATCCGGCCAAGATTAACGTTAATCTGTTTGGCGAGGATTGATGACATTCTAATGTAACGGTAATACTTTACTTTTCTTTAGTAACGATGAAAGCAAGTCCACCATTTTGTAATGGGGGAGCAGGTAAGAAAGTATATATATATATATATATATATATATATATATATATATATACGTTCATTGATATCTGTATACACAAACGGCGTCTGTTCAAGAATAGATTATATATGCAAATATATGCAGATATATGCGCGCGCGCGTGTGTGTGTAGGGAGGATGGAAGAGAAACAACCCTTCCAAAAATTAGAATTGAGAAAAATATCTGATGATAATTGCAATGCTAATATCAGCCGTTTCCCTCCAAGGAAACATTTGGCATGCATTGACCGAGCATCAAATGATACTTTCGGATTGTAGTTTATAAAATCGTTCTCTTGAAACCATTTTTCAGTTAAATAGATTTCTGATGTTTTCAAACACCAAATTACATTTTGAAATAACGTAGTTTAAGGCCTCAAAAGTAATCGAAGTTGGGGACAATTCAGTTTTATTTATATTTTTCATGTTTTCATGTTTTTGTAAACCAAATTTTATTCAATATGACTTTGTGTAAGTTGTCGAAACTTGTTAAAATCAATTGTTTTCGATCGAAAACAAATGGATCTTCAGTAATTTTATAGGTTATTGAATGTTTTCAAACACCAAATTATTTTTTATATTAACGTTGTTTATGAAAAACCTGCAAGGGTTGGCTTAAAATGGCGTCTCCAGCAAATACATTTTCCAGTAATTGTTATAGCTCTTTTAAATATTGATGGTAATTTCCTTCCTACCTTTGGTTACAACAAAGTGAACATCTTAATTATGTCATTATTTTCTCCTCGAATGTGCTATCCATTTTAGTTATTGTTGTTGCTGAAAGACCTCAAGTGATGTGGTTTCTGTTATTTGGTACAGCGTCAGGCGTAAATTAATAAATTTACGCCTGACGCTGTACCATCATTATTAGTTTAAATGTTATATTTTACGTTATATACAGAGTCCGCTAAAAATGTATATATACTTCCGGAAAGGGTAAAAAAATCATGACAAGATTGATACAAATTACTTTTAGACTCTAAAATCACAAGAGATGATCAAAATGATGGCATTTAGCTTCCCGGCATTTATTAGTACGGCGAACTACTGCTAGGCCAAAATTGGGTAAAGATTCCAGTCGGATTGCTACTTATGCATTTTCGTTTTCTTGTCTAAGGGCCGCCAATGTATTCCATATGTCGAGAAAATATGGTACTACATTAAACAGTGTTATCGCAGTTTGATAAAACTAGCAAAGTCTGTCCATTCTTGGAATGTATATACATTTTTTGGAGGATTATGGCTTAAGGGTGGGTGTCTCTGACTGATGTCAAATCGGTCGGGTTTCGAACTCGGCTTGAAGCAATTGCATGTCTAGCCACACTGATGAGCTGTGATACAGCGAAACAGTCTGTCTGTGGATAAATCTTTCTTTTTTTTTCTCTCTCTTTATATATATATATATATATATAGAGAGAGATGTATATACATATTATGATGCTAATGGTAATATTAGCCGTTTCTCTATAAGGAAACAGTCCGTATTCATTGACCGAGCAGCTAATCCTGTTTTTCGTTAAAATTTATAAAACCTTTAAAACATATTTTTTAGGAAAACAGTCTTCTCAAGTCCAGTAGCTGTTATCGCTCTTTCCAGTATGGATGGGGGTTTCCGTCATTTGAAGTGGTGTGTAATATTTAAACATATATAAACATCTTATGCCATTACAGTTTCGTGTGCTATCCATTTTAGTTATTGCTGCTGTTCGAAGTTTGCAAATGATGCGTTTTTTTATTATTTATTACAGGTCTTTGTCATTCTATAACCCGGACAGGTTTGAAAGTTATAAAAATTTTCTCTACAAAGAATTTCTTATAAAAACAGGTTTCTCAAGTCCAGTAGCTATAATCGCTCTTTCCATTCTTGATGGGGGTTCCTTGATCGTTTATGTAGAATACGCTTAGTGTCGTAGGTTGTTGCGTCTTTGATGCAAGAGAATTTGAGATTAGTGTCCAAGCACAGATAATAATCAAGACTTTAAAGGTTGATCTTTAGGGCAGTCAGCAAGATCAATATGTCAGTGGTCTGATACAGATATCAATTGAATTTTGATTGGAACTTTTCTGTGTAGAACGTTTCGTGTTTACTTTGTATAATGTAAGATCCATGTAATTAATTGAGAGAATTTTTGGTAAGTGCATTGGCAAAGAAGAATATTATGCTGAGAAATAGATTGTGATTAATGGAGAAACTTAGTTAAGGTGCTTCGGTATTTACCGAGATATGGCACAAGGCCGGTTTAACGTGAAATTAGACCGCGTAATAACAGCGTCAGGTTTGTCTGCCTCCCCGGACGAGACTGTGCCCTTCCGCATAGCTTTGTCTCGGTTCTTCTTTGCTCAAAGATAGAGAGTTCGACAAAAATTAAGAGCTTAATTAACGTGCGGCTAAAACCTGATGCTGACTCGGTATTTGCCCGAGCTCTCTACTGAGCGGGATGTGGCACAAGGCCGGTTTAACGTGGGATTTTCCGAGATTGTAGGCCCGTGCAAAAATTCCCCGTAGAGCCCGCAATAATGGGGTCGAGTTTTTCAACCTCCCCAGACGAGAATCTGCCCTACCCTCGTCTGAGTTCCTCTCTGCCCAAAGACAGAGTACGGCAAGCTCTAAGATCTTTGCGCGCAGCTAAGGCCTAATGCTAACGCTTAGTAGTAGTTAAGGTGACTCATTTACATATGAACTCAAAATGACTTTAAATAGCCACGGCTATTAACCATGAGGCAATTGAGTGTATACTACTTTCCGCTAGTATGTAACACTACACAATAATCGTGTTGAGTGCTTTGCAAAGATTATGTTGATAAATAGATTGTTGTGGTTAATGCTTATTTCCATAAAGCACAGATGCATTGATGCGGAAATTCGGTGCACGAAAACATATCTGTAAATTTTATATTTGGCATATAACTTTTTCAAAAAATATAGCGCAGATTTTCTCAGTTTTTTCGCCTTGTGGAACCCTTGAAGTAGTTTTCATGTTTCAGGGAAACCCTTGTATAAAAATGATTATATATGATTAATATCTGTCTTTATTTCTTAAAGGTCCTGTAACTATTTACATTACATCGTTCCCAGGGACTTATGGCGTTGGATGAAATAATCCAGTGACTTGACACCAAAAGAGTTGTGAGTTCAATATCTGGCCACAGCAGAGGTAAACAAAAGAGAGCTGAGTTACAAAAAAAAATAAATAAAAAAATAACTGAAACTGAGACACACAGAAAACGTGTGGCACGTGGAAAATAGTGTAAATACTTCAATATAGACAGATCCTGAAGAAGGCCAGGGTGTACAACGGCCGTAACGTCATAAATGTGACTATAGAGATGACGAAAACAGTCCGAACAATTTATACAGTGCAAATATTTACAATACTTCATCTCAAAAATATAGACAGATCCTGAAGAAGAGCATAGAGTACAACGGTCGAGACGTTGTGAATGTGACCACAGAGATGATGAAAACAGTCCGAACAATGTAAATGATGTAATTACCGTTATTAATATGTATCTATTTTCTATATTTTATCGTAAATCACGTGATAAAAATAATATATAAATACCCTGCAAGGATCCTGTACTCGACTCTATAACACAGTGATACACGAATCTGCCGCGTAAGGGTCTTGACCACTAACCAGTGAAGGCGGTTTCACACCGATGCCATACAGACATCACTAAATACATTCCGTATGCTTATTATAATTTTAAATACTATAAGCGGTTGTAGCCTTTATTTTAATAATCAAGGATTTTCTAACAATTTACCATACGTGTATCGCAAAATTACGAATAAAAAAATTTAAAAAAAAGATTACTCGAACGTGCATTGTCCCATTTATCAC